CCAGTGACTGACTCGCCGATGAATGTGTAACTTCCTGTATTTGGTGTCTTCAGGCCTCTGAGGACCACATGAAGAAGCACTACCTGGACCTGAAGGACATGCCTTTCTACGCTGGACTCTGCAAATACATGTCCTCTGGACCCGTCCTCGCCATGGTAACACACATACAAACACACTCAGCTCGCCTCTAGCGCCGCCATCACACACATATCTTTCTCGCTTTATCTCTTTCCATTGCCTCACTCGTCTCTCCATCTATTCACACCCTCTCGTGTTCAAGGCATCGTGCTCCGACCTCCACCGGACAAACGAGGCGCACATAGGAGACTTTAATCATCCAAGCTTTATTTAGCCTGACCTCGCACACGTTTGCAACCAAAAGGGGATAAAAACAAAACTGCAAACAGTTTGAGTTTGAGAGGAAATATGAGGCACCTAAAACTGCAGTTCCTCTGACATCCACTAGAGGCTGCAGCAGGGAGTCAGTCCCATTTTAAACTTTTACAGCAGAAATAAACACGTTTACATCCTGATACACAAACAGCTGTTGTTTTTTATAACTCACCTGATTAAATTGTATTAAGGCTTAAATTTTGCATTATTAGGGGCGTGGCCTTTTTGACTGACAGGTGGATGATGGCGACTTAGGTTTTAGGCTGTAGCTGCTAGCTGTCTGCTAGCTTCACCTCAATTGAACCTCTGGACCTTGTTTGTGTAGCTGGAGCCTTTTAATGATGTGATCTGACCATTAATATGGCTGCTGTGAGGTTAATGGATCTAATGGATCTACACTTTGGGTGCAATCGCCAAGAAGGCGCTATCAGCAGGGGCGCCACTAGGGGGCGCCACCCCCCTCAAACAGATCATTATAGATTTCAAAATCTTATTTGGTTTTCATATGTATCTATTTTCAATGAAATCTACTTTAATAATCATTCTCTCTTTATTGACATATTTTTCATTAACCTATGTTTAAAATACAACTTTGTCAGTGGTCTTGAGACTTTTTGTCCAAAACTAGAAGACAGTGTTTACATTTTACTTCTATTCTGGGTGAGTTCAAGAGCGCCCCCTATAGAGCAGCAAGTCCACTGCAGAGGCAGTTCCTGACAATTTAGAATATTTAATTTGACGTGATGGTGACAGAAAACTGAAACTGGTGACATCACAGTGGTCTCGTCCATCTTTTAGATACAGTCTATGGATTACACTGGTTTGTTCTTCCTGTATCACTAAAGTAGAAAAGAACTAAAACTGTTCACCTTTCAACGTAAACATCAAAATTCAGTTCAGCTGTTTGTGAAGTGTGTGTTTGTGCATTCCAGGTGTGGGAGGGTCAGAACATTGTGAAGCTGGCCAGGATGATGCTGGGTGAGACCAACCCCGCTGACTCCAAGCCCGGCAGCATCCGTGGTGATCTGTGCATCAACATCGGCAGGTGAGCAAGCGACCACGACATGACTGCCTCTGTTTTATAACACAACATCACGCAGAGCAGACGGACCCACACAACTCACAACACTGTTGTTTTTCAGCCAGTAATAACTCAGTGTAGTAAAGATTAGGATCTCAGTGGGATAAAAGTGTCTCCTCCCAGTCCTCCATCCCGGCTCCCCCCGGCTGTAGCATCATCAGTATCACTGTAACATATTTCACTTAGCCTTACTGGACACACACACCATGGTCGGGAGTCAAACCCCCGACCTGAAGGTCCAAAAGCAAGTAGTGTCACCACTGCATTGTCCAGCTGCTGTGTGTGTGTGTGTGTGTGTGTGTGTGTGTGTGTGTGTGTGTGTGTGTGTGTGTGTGTGTGTGTGTGTGTGTTAAGACATTAGAAAACTAAAACACTCACAAAATGAGATCTCTTAAATTCATAATATTTTAAAGTCTTAACAAAATGTGAAAAATTTTAACACATTTTTGAAATGAGACATTTTCTATTAGCTGTCTGAAAGAACCCCTCCCCTCCCCCCACAAACCCTGAAATCATTGATCAGATATTGATCCGCACCGATCACCTCCGTTTCCACAGGAACATCATCCACGGCAGCGACACCCTGGAGAACGCCAAGATGGAGGTCGACCTGTGGTTCAAGGCCGAGGAGTTTGTCACCTACACCCCATGCGCCCAGTCCTGGCTGTACGAGTAAACCGGCCCCATCCACCATCATCCGTCAGCCCCGCCCTCCCTGCAGTCGATCGTCGATCAATCCACAACATGTAGCACTTATCAATAAAGTGTCATGTTAACAACAGTCTGGATGTTTCTGTGTTTGTCTGGGTGAACGCGGTTTCTACTGTTATCACAAGCAGCAGCAACCAAATCCCTCCGCCTCTGAAAATAGTGCCCATTGAATCCACTGTCTCACCGTGTTCATGTGATAAAAGGCAAGATGCTGCATCAGGTCAGCTCAGGTGCTGATTATTGTTATTAAGACTAAACAGATGTTTTTGTGGTTTCGAGCAGCGATGGCGGCTGATGGGCATCGTCACTGCTGCCAGATCCTCATGAGTGTAAGACGCCAACGGCACACCGGATTGGCAGTCCAGCCCTGCACTCGTCTGTTCATAAGTGGCCAGCTGGCATTGAGTTAGCTGTGCATCTATCAGATACCCTGTCTGTAGCTGTGAACCTCAAACTCATTCTGGTGTTTCTCTAGCTTTTATTTAGAGTTCTTCATCATTTTTCAAATGATGGATCTGACTTAGATCCATTAACACAGGCCTAAAACCAGCTGGGGATTCCCCAACCGCCTGGAGAGTGGTTACTGCAGGTTGCTTGGTTTTGTTGGGTTGCAAAGAGGTATGCAGGGGTGTACCAAAAACCTCTGTGACTGTGAAAGCAAAAGGACATAGTATTTCTGTTGGGGACTATTTTCAGCAGCAGTTTGATACTGGTTTGAGTTATTACAAGGGAAAATTAAAAAACAAAAACTGTGGTCTGTGCTGACATACTGTATAAGTAAAGTGGAATCTGATTAGCTTGAGTCATCAACACCAAACAGCTGGTAGCCAAAACACCAAGAATGAGCTCTACTCGACTTCAGAGGGCGGAGGCATAAACCCACACGTTCATGGCTGAGCATGAGTAATGCGATGCTGATGATGAATGAGAGAACTCAAACAGACCCATCAGCTGAATCCTACCCTCCTCAGCAGCTGACCCGACATCAGATAAACTGTCGGACCTCCAAACTGCTGAGTACAGTCCAACGGGCCAGACCCAGGAGGGAAACCCATCAGGCTGAAACTCAGATCCAGAGTGCCGGCTGATGAGCTGACACTTGTTCCTTTTTACAGACCTGTGACGCTTCCAGCTCAGTTAATTATGTGGATTTGCTGATGTTGACATCTTCCTCTCCAAGTATGCACTCCAGTCCAGTGCTTTTACAGATTTAAGGTGTAAACTGCCAATCAAAGGGTCAACAGTTCACCAAGATCCAATATCAAAGTCCCGATTTGGGCCAAAAAACCTTCAACACACGTGTGAAGGATCCACAACCCGACCACCCCTTCATGCTTTTCAGCATCTGCATTATTACGGTGGCTGTAATAACGGTCACGGCTGCAGCTTTTCAGCTCACAGCTCACTCTCCGACAACAACGACAACAATCAGTCAGGTCCGAGTTCAGATCATAAGCTGACGAGGCGTGATTGCAGATGCTGCTCAGGTGCGTCCGCCTCCCCGGCAGCAGGACCGCAGACCACGCTCCGCACAACACAACTCGGGTTATTCAGCCGAATGGTAATGGGCTTATGACGTGAAAGTGACTCACAAATTTGTGCCACATTTTCCCTCCAAAACCTCACAAACTTTAACCATTACAGTCCGGAGTTGATCCAAACCTAAATTTTAATATTATGAGTTCAAAGACCTCAGAGTTTGAGGTCTCGACTGTCGTTGTGATCATTGTACACTCGGCTGCCAAGTGGGGAATTCTGGAGATCACTGCCGTTCTGAGGTTCCTGCTTCACGTCCATGGATGTCACAAACCGGACTGAAGAGAAAAGGCAAACTCGGTGATGTCCAACAACCATGAAGACATGCTTGACTTTGTGCCATGAACTGGCCTGAAACAATGGTAGTCTGCAGCTGCATGCTGAACTTTCGTAGTGAAAAGTTTCCACCTGCCAGTCCATGTCCATTCTCACCTGTAGTCCGGAGATCTGGGTATTGGCACGACTGAAGTTGCAAATACAAGTGGATGAAATTAGCCTCCTTTGAAGGTTGGCCGAGGTCGGAGAAGAAGGAAGACAGCCGAGTTGGTTCTGGCATCAGGTGAAGATGGCTCCTGTCTGCCTCTGGAGGTTTCTCAACCCATCTAGAAGGACAAGCAGGAGAAGAACCAGTACCTATTGGAGAGAATACATCTCATGTGGTTTGGGGAAAGCCTCAAGATCCTCCAGGAGAAACTGGAAAATGTTGCTGGGTAAAAGATCTGGATTACCATCGTAACCTGCTGCCACCTCACTCTAACCAGGTACGTGGAGGATAACGGAGGGATGTTTGTTCTAATGTCATACAAACCTCTGACGCTAGTAGATCTCAAGTTTTGTACCTTTCACAATTCAGTCTTGGAATTTTGTGTCTGAACCAAACACACACACACACACACACACACACACACACATCACACACACACACACACACACACACACACACACACGCACACACCACACAACACACACACACACACACTACACACGCACACTACTATAGAGCACACGCACACACACAAACCCACGACACACACGACCACACAAACACACAGCACACACATTTTTACACACACAAACACACGGCACACACATACATACACGGCTACGCACACACAAACGCACGCACACGCACGCAACCACACACTCACACTCGCACACACACACGCAACACACGCACACACACACACACACACACGCACACACACACACACACACACAAACACGCACACACAAACACACAAAAAAACACACTCTCTCTCTAACTCCTTTTGCGATAATCATGTAGTATGTGCATAAAAATGTAAAGTCAGTCATTTCTTTTACACCTACATGTCATCATTTCTTCACAATCATGCTGTCAAAAATTGCACAATGTATTAGAAAAAAGCTTCATGAAATATAACATCAGGTTGTAACTACACTTCTGTTCTCAAAGACAGTTAAAGTACATATATATATATATATATTTAGATATTTATATCCATCTAGATATACTTTTAAACATTTGTATGTTTTAATAAGAGCTCAGTAAAAGTCATGTTCACGGCACGAACATGTGGACAACATGGACAGAAGTTTGGGACAAACCTGTTTTCATCAGTTTGAACACACAAAAAAATATTCGGGATTTCTTCTTTTTTAGTTCACATTTAAATAAATCTGCAACAAGAAAAACACGAGGCTGATCTCTATAATTTCACATTAGTTTGTACTTCAGGGAAACAAACGTAGATAAGTGCAGGCACTAAACCTGAGCACTGCTGTGGTTGCTGATTATGAGCCTGTAATCTCAGGAAAATGGGACTAAGAATATTCTTGGGAATTACATTTTCAGTTTTTTCTTTTTTCAGAAATGCTAATAATCCCGACCCTGGATCAGATCAGATGCTGTCTAATTACGCTGGCCTGTTAGCACACGGAGTCAGAAGGCCAAACACGCCCTGGTCCCACCTTCGTAAACACGTCATCTCAAAGCATAAGCTCGTTAACTACAAACAACTTTGATTAAATTCAGTTTTGGACGATGAACTGATATTTTGGTTCAGATTGCACAGTTTTAACCGCAGAACTTTAAATTATAAATAAATGATGCCCCCCCGAGTTGTAATCTAATCCTCTCTTTTAGAAATCTGCTCAAATTTATATATACTTGGAACACAAATTCATAAAGTGACAGCACAAGGACGATTATTTTCCAGGGTTGTGCGCAGATCCAGTCCTGCTGCCTGTCTTACATTTGAAAAACAAATATTGGTCTCCCAATTTGTGTGATTTAAAATTCAAGTCAAAATTGTGCAGCCACAGACATCCACATGCTCCAGTGTGGGTTCGAGTCTCAGACTTTACAGCCAATCCAATCATGCAGCTGCTCCGTTTCCCTCTTGGTTTGGAGGACTTCCACTCGTATCCATCCACGGGCGACTGTGGTTAGTGACCAAAGCAGCCACACAGTGTCACCCTTAAGCACTCATCCAACCATCCAGGCGGGACACATTTTCCTCTAGCGACTGAAGGTCAAAGGGGTTACTGACTGGTCTCTAGGCCGGTATGACTGAGACCCCGTCAATCACCTGACTCCAGATTATTATCTGAACCGATCTTAGACTGGGTGAAAGATTTTACACCCGACTGCAGAGCAGACACGCTTCTATTTTTCACCCATTGTCTTAAGACAGACTGTAAAATACTCAAGTCAGTCTATTGCAGTGCTGAAGCCACTTTGACACTGGTTGAGACGTTTGACCCGTCGGCTCTGACCCTGAAACCAAATTGTGTAGCCCTGCACCTGACCTTCAGTTTGGTGCTTATTTCACGCAGACTCTATTGATTCATTTCTGAATTTTTGCAGCCAATCAGGTTTGAGTTCAGCACTAATTTATACCCATAGAAAGACCAAATTAATTCCTATAATAGCCACACACCCAGTTCAGATTCCAGCTGATCTTCCTGAGATAACAAACATCTTTAAAAAGCAACCACTGTCAGCATCAGCCTCCAAACGCTCAAATCATCTTTAGGTCCCAATTCTCAGTCTAAGAAACGGCTTCAAATCCCACAGTTTCCACAATAATAAACCACAACTTCTCCTCCCACTGGGATAATCACACATGACAATATCACAAACTGGCGTGGAAGACCGGCGACCCACTTCACTTTCACCTCTGAATACAAAACCTAGTACAAACACAACTTGTTCACCAGACTCAGTTTGTCAAAATCAATCCATAAAAACATTATCAAAGGCGTCACCTACAGACAGCACCATCATACACGTAGAACTGCGATACTAGATTCACACATATAAACGAACACGAGCACACGGACAGCAGTGCGAGTTTAGAAACGGGTTCAGTGCGCAGACGCTCACAGCTCAGCGTAAGACTCGAGTCTCAACGACGGATCTGTGAGACGACTGCAACACACATCAAACAGCTCACACAAAACAACACAAATATAAATGTAGACACTTTTTAAAAAATGTATCAAAGTAAACGGTTTCATTTTTAGTTTTTTAAATGCAGTACGTTAAAACTGTGTCTATGACGTGAAATTATTACATATTAAGGCAAAATTAAGAAACTAAAGTCTGAGTTTATGTTATGAGCTAATAATGAGTAACTGGTTTTGTCTTACTGGGGTAACGCCGGGAGAGTTACACTTTTAATATATCATAATATTATGAAATCCAATACACTGAGGAGCTGAAGCATGTCATGACAAAAAACTAAACTAAGAAAATATTTTACAAATTATTTTTAAATCAAAAGCTTTGAAAGTGAGAAACTTCAAAATGCAAAAATATTCATGCCTCTCTTAAAGAAGCTGATTAAAAACCATCAGTCGGTTCTTCGCTGGTACTGAAGCTCAATTTGACAAAGATTTACTTACAAGAGAAATTAAAACTGACGAGAATCAAGTTTGTGTGATCAGGGTTAAAACAGACAAAAGCAGGAACAGAGAAATCGAACACGTCGACAGATAAAGTCAAAACTATGAGACGGCAAATTTGTGACGCATTAAAAAAAATAAATTAAACAATATAAAAACATAAAAAACTTTCTGTGGGAAAGAGTGTAACATTAAAGAGCAAAAGTTTAACACTGAAAGGTAAAATAAGTAACTAGTAATGTAGCATACTCGCATACAAGTCAGGATTACATTAATATGAGTTTTTCCCATTATTGTTTCCAAAGTTTAGAAAATACGTAAAGTTGTTGTGTTTGAGCAGATGTTACGTTTGTAGCTTCAGCTCTTTAACATCTGTGTGTTTGTGCAGCTCCACAAATATGCTTTCAGCTTATTTTGGACTTATATCCTTGTCAACGTACACTTCACTGCCTGCAGAGTAAAAAACACAGATAAAGGAACATTTGGACATTTTTAGACATCTGTTAGCTTAAAAGCTACTTCAGGCCGTCCCCCTCACTCAGAGCGTCCCTCCACGCTCGATTTGATCAATTCAAGTACCATGATCGTCTTCTATTACATATAGATTTTAAAATAAATCAAATATACTCATTTTACAATTTAAATATATTTTCTTAACCCAAAAATCTTAATTTTGTTTATACTTTTCTGAGGTATCCATACTGCGTAACGACGATGTACTTTTGTAGGTTTTTAGCTGCTGAAGTACTTCTGATGAAGACATCAGTGTGGTCAACAGTGCCTTTGGCCAAGGCTGTAAACTCAGTTTTTTTCTACGTTTGGATCTGTGTGATGTCACACAGAGGGGCAGCCAATCAAAGAACGTCGTGTCAAAAGGGGGTGGGGCTAAAACAGCTTGTATCAGAGAGAGGAGGAACTGAGATGGTGCATAAGATAAAGAAGAGTTATTATGAACTCTGAATCATGCAAAGCTAATGTAACACCATAAAAACATGGTGATGGAAATAAACAGAGCAGTAATGAATCCAGGACCGAGCGTTACTGCAGACCGCTACATCTTCCATTAACGCCACGCTGGCTTGTCTAACTCTGCAGTCTTTACCTGGGCCGTGTGGATTCAGCACAGGCTGAAATAACCCCAAGGATCCTGTGAAGCTGCGGCTGTGATTGGACGTTTAGCCGTCTCGATGAAACTCAAACACATTTTAAAATCATCAAAACAAAGAAAGCTTTAAGAAAACGTCACGTTTGGCTGATCCTTCCAGCAGCTCGGTGGATTTTCTGATCTGCTTCAGCGTCTATCGTGACCGATGCTCCGTTTTACCATAAAAATAAATGCTGCAAACCTGTGGGCGGAGCTTCAAGAAGTGATCTTTCTTCCTTGGCATCCTCGTTACTCCAGCCGCTCACACTGAAACAGTGTTTTTATGACTACATCAACAGTTTTAACGTTAGAACACGAACAACTACAAACAGTGGAGATCTGGGCGTTGGAAAAATTGTCATATAAAAGCTGTTTGTTGTTTTAACTGTCCTGCGGCGTCTTCTTCTCTAGCAGGGTTCAATTTTCAGATGGCAGTTCACCAAACACAGCTAAAGAACACAGAGTTCTTTAAATGAAAGGTTAGGAGGAGTGGTCCAATGTTGGAGGTCACCAGTAGACGATTTCACATGTTTGTGGGAGGGGAAGCAGGATGGAGGCGGCCTACTGCTGGTCCCGGCTGCTGAGGAAGTCTGCGGAGGATCTGTGTGTTTCTGCTTCAGTCCTGTGAGAAGATAACTCGGGCGCTCTGGCATTCTCCTCTCTGACTCCTGCAGAAACACAGACGATGCAGCACTGAGGCCATCACCACATTAGAGAGCATCACGGAGGCGACGCGGCAAACGAGAGAAAACAGCTTTTTGCCTAAAGTGGACGTCAGACTGCGAGGATGCACCAAAACAACATCTTCCTCAACACGTGCATGCAAACCTCAATGAACCGAAGCCACGCTGTAAAGACGAGCGTGCTCCGCACCCACGTGGCCGACTGCAGTGACACACGGCTCGTTGCTGCCGCTGGCTGAGGCTTCGTGTTTAGTTTGGGATGTTTGACGACGCGGCGAATGCGTCACACACACCGCGCTGCTCATCTGTGTTTTTATGAGTTTTCATGACGCCCAGATTTGTAAAAACCACAGAAATGAAAGAAGGCTGCACGAGTGCATACCTGCCCCCCCCTCAGTGCGGGGGCTGCTCTCCAGGTCGGCAGAGGGCGGCTGGGCCGCGGAGGCCGGAGGAGGGGGTGACGGGTAATCGGGCGGAGTCTCGTTCTCGTCTCCCGATAGGCTCCTGGGGACGCCTGTTACCATGGTGCCGGAGAGGCTGACGGGTCGCTTAGCGATGGGCAGCTTCCTCTCTGGGAGACCAAACAGGTTTTGTTAAAGAGACAGTACAACAATCACGTGCTCATGCAGCTCCTCCTGCTCCGCCCTTTCACCGTTTCTCCTCTTTCTGTCGTGACTGAAATGAAAACTGGTTTTTGGTCTGTTTCATCTTTTTTTAAGTCACATCAGCACACGTTTTGTTTTTGTTGGTCTATGATAGTTTGGGTCTGTGGCTGCAGCTGCTCAGTGTTTCCTGTTACTGACATCGTTAGGAGAATGTAACGATGTAAATGTTGGTCTCTGTGGGTGTGACTGAAGAACGCCTCTAATGTAAGAACGCTACAGGGAGGCGGAGCATCGTTATTACTAAGCAGCAGTTTAACACGCAGCGTCCTGAAGGCTGCGCCGCGGCACGTTTGTTACTCAGCGATTTAAAGAGACGCCGCCTCACTTTTCTTTTGTCCTTTGTACTGCTGAGACTTCTTCCTCTGTCTGGATGCTGCTGACTGCAGGTCTCTGGAGCCTGAAACAAAAAAAAAACAAAAAAACACACCAGTTTACCCGTCCTTGTCACCACGGAAACTACAGATCAGGTGGGACTTACCTGCGTTAACAGCCGGAGGCTGCAGCTGGTAGCCGGTCAGCTGACACCAGCCCACCGGGTACAGGTCGGGCGACTCGCAGTCCACCCACTGGTCGTACTCGTCCTCCCAGCCGTCGAAGTGTATCCGTAGCAACCGGTGGACGATGCGCGTGACGGTGGCGACGCAGACGAGCCGCGGCTCCATGAGGTCGACGGCCTCCAGCTTCATACCGGGGCGGAACCCGTGGTTGGGGACGTCCTGATGGAGGACACGGACATGACGCGGTCGTTAACATGTGGGCGTTTCTTTGTTTCTAGTCGCCGTTTCGGTTCATTTGCCAAGAAAAAAAAAAAACTAAAACGGCAAAATTGAAACTTTCACTCGGTTCCCTCCACACAAACAAACCCTGCAGTCCTAAAATACTCAGAAATATAAACGTTAGATATGCAAAGTCTTCATGCAGAAAAATTACCAAACTGCTCTTTATTCAAACTGTTTATAATTCTGTGCATCAGCAACATGGAAACGTCTGGTTGCTGTGAGTTAAAGTTACAGATGACAGTCTGTGTGCAGTGAGAAGCTGAGCGGACACAAACCTCTAATCAGCTCACATCAGTGTCAGACCTGCTGCAGACGGCGTTTTTGGGACAGATTTGTTTTCATTCAAACAACAATAAACGCATCAGACACCAACCTGGTGCGTGTTCTGTTGCTGGACCTCCAATTCTTTCTTTAATGATATCTTTGGTTAATTTACCTTCCATATATTTAACTAGAGTCACCTCTACGATGACGATGGTCTGCTGTAAGTGAGTGTAGACGATGAAGCTCCGCCTCTAACCACTGAGCCAAAAAACACTTCATGCGCTCTGGACTGAGCCGTGACATCGTCCTGGGAGTCTTTCTAATAATTTTAGTTCAACATGCCTGCTCTATGTTTCTACATCTACTCCCAGAGCTGCTCAGACTGCATTAAGTCATCATGCTGATGAATCACTGCTGACTTCAGCCCGTTTGAGCCTCACCCTGTTGAACAGGTTCACCGGTGCAGCCACAGACTTGCTCTCCTTCAGATATTCAAACCATCTGAAGGGCAGACTGGAGTAACCTGGACACACAAAGACAGGATCAGTTTGATCACAGTGCACACTACAGGGCAGTTTCAACAACACGACCACAGGTCCGTGAAAGCTGCGACGCTTTGAGAATGGAGTGAACTCCCCAAAGAACAAAACACGTTTTCAAATGTTTCCTGAGACATAAATACGACCAAAAAAAACACGGTTCTGCAAATATCTTCAGAATAATGCTCATAGTGAGGAACTTTATTCCTCACTATGCTGCGGCACCAGTCTGCCCGTCGATCTCCGGCTCCCATCACTCGTGAACAAGACCCCGAGACACTTAAACTCCTGCACTTGGGAGGAGTTTCAGGGTCTCGTCCCTGACCCGGAGTGGGCACTCCACCCTTCACAACATCGTATCATTAAAATGGAGAATCTGGAGGGATCTGTGTGCAGGGACGAGGCTGGAAATGAGGCTGGGGCAGCGTTAACGACAGCTGCAGGTTAAAGCTGTTTCTCCCACAGCTGCGTGCCGCTGCCTTTCAAAGGCACTCCTACCTCTAGGCGGCGTCAGCTCGATGTTGTTAATCTCACAGAAGCCAGCGGGGAAGATGGAGGGAGACGTGGAGTGATAGCAGAACCAGTCCGAGCCATCGGCCGCCTCCGAGCCGTCTATGCCGATCATCAGGTACCCGTCTGCCAGGACCTGAGGAGGAGGCGACAGGTTAGATGGAGCCGGAGGGCGGAGCAGCCGGTTTCAGAGTGAGCGCTCGCTATTACCTTCCTCACTGTGGCCACGCAGATTGCAGACAGATTCAGAGGGTCAATGGCCTCCAGCTTCATCCCATCTTCGAACCAGCGGCCGCTCTGATCCACTTCCTTCACCTTCAGGAAAAACAGGATAAATCTCATTCCTGTTCCTCCAAGCTGCAGGACAATCGTTCATCTCTGGTTCTCCTCCACAGCGTCTTTGTCCCGTCGCCCTCCCCTCAACCCAAGGTCACCGCAGACGGACAACCCCCCAAGCCTGGTTCCTCCTTCCCTTTAAAAGGCAGTTTTTCCTTCCCACTGTCGCCAAAGCGCTCGCTCATGTGACGTTATCTTATTGTGGTTTTTCCTCTTCTCTCTGTGTTATTGAGCAGCTGCAGGCGACTGTTGTTCTTATTTGGTGCTAAATAAATAAAACTGAATTGAATACATCAGTAACATCATATTACTTAGATAACCATGACTGTTAGTGAAACATCACTGTGTCACACAGTTAGCACTGTAGGAAATATGCTGAGTGGGCGTGACCCATAGAATCGCCAACAGTGGACGAAAACCCTTCAGGAAATATTTTGAATGAAATAAAAGACCTTCTGCCTTATAATTAGAAACATGTTAAAATTAAAGCCTGCATAAATGCAAAATTGATATAAATTGATTTTATGGTAAATGGCCTGTATTTATATAGCGCTTTACTAGTCCCTAAGGACCCCAAAGCGCTTTACATATCCAGTCATCCACCCATTCACACACTGGTGATGGCAGCTACATTGTAGCCACAGCCACCCTGGGGCGCACTGACAGAGGCGAGGCTGCCGGACACTGGCGCCACCGGGCCCTCTGACCACCACCAGTAGGCAACGGGTGAAGTGTCTTGCCCAAGGACACAACGACCGAGACTGTCCGAGCCGGGGCTCGAACCGGCAACCTTCCGATTACAAGGCGAACTCCCAACTCTTGAGCCACGATCGCCCCATGTCCATGAGGAGCCAAACTCCACAGGTGGGACTAGATTACAGGTAACTCAGGTGTCAGTGGATGTAGCAAAGCCAGAGACGACGTCGGGTGAAGCTCACTTTGGCAAACAGCTGTCCAGGTGCGTCCATCTGACCGTCCAATTTCTTCGACACATCTGGGAACAATCACACAGTACACGTTCTTCATCCTCATGTTACACGCTGGCTTAAATTCACTGTTTTCTACATGGAGTCTGGTGGCCTGGGATCGAATCACCTGACCCACCGGATCGTTTGAAGCGGTGTCCAATGGATCGAGACCATCCGATGCTGTGGATCAGAGGGCTGTACATGTGACACCAGAAGTCGTCGGTCCCATCGTCGCACTCCTCGTACACGAGCCGGAGACGACCGCCGATCACCTGCGACGACGCAAACGTCAGGATAACATTCACGCAAATAATACTAATAAACTGGATAAGCAGAAGAGAACGGATGGATAGATCAACAGCTGTATCAGAGGCGGTGGGTGGAGCACCTCAGGGCTCCGTCACTGGTCTACTGATTTATTCCTGTAGATGTTATTTGTTTTGAGAAACTACACAAATGTACGATTAAAATGCGCTGCTGAGCCTCTGGTCCTGCAGCTTTGAGTGTTTCCAGGTAATTTGACATAAAAAGTTATTTAAAATACACAAATACTCATAAACAACGACTCTGGCAAAGAGACATTTGATCTGCCGCCCAGAGATGCTTAGTTTACTGTGACTCACCTGTTCCACCAGAGCCACTCGAGTCCGGCACAGGTGAGTCTTATCCACCACCTCCACCCTCATCTGTTTCTTGAAGGGGAACTGCATGCTCTCCTGCACCTGAACAGACACCTGAGTTCAAACTCAGTTTCAGGACGAAGGTTATTTAAAAAATGGATTACGTGCGTTTTCTACGTCACCTTGGAGGCGAAGTCTGGCGGCAGAGTTTTGGAGCCCGTGAGTCTCTTGATCAGGAACGTTTTCCAGTTGGAGAAGCGGTGCAGGATGGCTGAGAACACACACACAGATATAAGTTTACAGCCTAAAAAGAAGTCTATTTGTTCCTGTGAACCTGATTACTCAGGACTGTGAAACTGATCTGAGGTCTGAGGACAAAGCTGCAGACAGGAAGTGACCCTTACACTGAGGGGGGACCAGAGGTTTCCCTCCAGCAGCACACCAGCCCACCGGGTGGATGTCTGGCACGCACAGATTCAACCAGAAGTCTCGTGTAGAGTCGCAGTCGAAGCCCTCGTATCTCAGCAAAGCCTTAAAACCTGCACGTGCACGCACACACACACAC